TTCACACAAGCTACTAATTACATCTTTGTGTTTCAACTGGCTCCTTATAACAGACTGGTGCTTAAGGCTCTGCCTAAATGAATAAAAAGAAAATAATACAATCGCCACAAGTAACACATCAAGTAATTTAGTACCATAAAAATAACTACTTTATAGAACATTTTAAAAAAATCACAATGCATCATATATTAATATATTAGACATGGTATAACTAAGATATGCCAACTTTACCTCTGAAGCAGTTATGTTTGTTTAAATAAGTTGCTAATTTTTCATTTCTCTGAGTAAAACAACTGAATTCTCACTACGTGTCAGGCACTCTGCTAGGCCCTTCGGATAAAGTAAATCAGACAGATACAATCCCTGCTCTATCTGCATGGAACTTGTGGTCTAGCATGAGAAAGAACATTAAATAATTATAAGAATAATTACAGTTGTGATTAATGCTAAGATGGAAAAGTCTAAGGTGCTACAATAGAGAGACCTAATCTAACTTATTCTTAGGGTGAGGATGTCAGAGAGTGCTATCATGAAGATTCAACACTTAAGCTGACAACTGAAAGATAAGCAGGAGTTAGCAAGGTGCAGAGTAGGGGAGAGAAGCATCCTAGGGAAAAAGGCAGAGGCAAAAGCCATGAAAAGACTCTGGGACAGGAGACTTTGGGATGTTTGAGGAACAAAGGGCAGGGAGAGAACAGCATGAGATAGGCTGGTGAAGGAGACAGAGTACAAAGAGGATTAGGTTGTTACTCTTAGTAAAATGGGATAGACTTTAGGCAGTAGAGTGACATGATCTGATTTACTTTTTAAAAAGATCACTCTGAATGCTGGGTAGTAAATGAATTGGAAGGGGGCAAGAGTAGAAGATATTCAATGATGATGATGGTGATGTGGCTAATTCACTGAGCACTCACTATATGTCATGCACAGTTCAAGCATTTCACATTGATGAACTCACCTCTGACTATAACCCTATCAAGATGCTATTATCATTTCCATTTTCGTATGAGCAATATAAGGTTCAGAGAAATTAACCAAATTGCCCAAAGGTTCAGAAAGGGTGATTTCAAAATAAATACAAGCACATGCAGTATGGCTCTTAGGCAACACTCTTAACTGCTGCACTATTACTTCTTGACAACTTAGTGTCCTGGTGGTGCGAGAAAAGCACCTACGACTTGAAAGTCTCATGCTGACCAGTAATGCATGTGCATAAAGTAGAGGTTCTCGACCATTTTTACATCTCAGCCACATCTCCCACCTCTAAGAAGCTGATGAATGCTATGGGTACTCTCCCTACTAGCCCTTTGTAATGCTTCAGTTTCAGAAAGTTAAAATTACTTTATAAATGGAATTAAGCTTGAATAACTTAAAAGTACATAATGAAGCAATTATATTCAGCTCTAATTATAGTTACTAATTTATCTAAACCTAGAAATAGGATACTTTGTAGCTGGTTAAACAAAAGTAGCAGCAGGCAAAAAGTTAAGCTCTAATCTGGCCCATGACCCATTAGTTTGGGAGTACTAGCTAACTAGGTAGAACTTTTTTTTTTTCATTTTAGAGGCAGCAGGGTAAAGAAGTCCAATCTGGTTTGGAAGCTATATTTAAGATATCTGTATTATCAAACAGCAGTGTCAGTAAACATATCCACAAAAAGTGTTTCAAATGCAATCTAAGAAAACATGAATAATTAAGACTTGGGATGTGGAAAACACTATAAAAAGTAAAAACTAAAAACAAACTTACTTAATTATAAACTTCCAAGTATTGGCATGAAATGCATGGTCCATACTGGAAATAACAGAGCAAATATCCAATAATGAATGAATAACTACAAAGAAAGGTAATAAAAAACATTAGGGCATTCAAATGTCATAGAGTTTCTCCTATATTTAAAAGTATCTATTGAATAATTTCAACATTTGATTGAATTAAAATTGGTAATGCAGTTTGGAAATGATTGCATCAAAATAATTACTGAAATTAGTACTTTTGATTTACAGTTTTTATAAATTATGGAAAATTAACTTTTACAGTTTACACTCACCCTATGACCTGAATAAAACTAAAAATGTTCAGTGGAATAAAAGTTGTGCCTTATTATAGTTCAAATATTCTACAGATA